AAAAGAGATAGAGTGTTAACTCGTATATCGTCCAACATATGAAAACCTAGTCACGAGGGACGTGACATTTGAGTGTTCACATCCAATAATATGTTATATTCACCCCAAGGATTATAAAAACCTAAATATGTGGTTTGATTTGATTATGATATATATACACACGCACACACATTTCAATGAATTGATATGAATTTGTTTTGAACTAATTAAATATGTATGAATTGGTTTTATGATATACATTTGTTTTGGAGGAACATTACATCTTAAGTTAAATTTTAAGTTATCGTCTTTAGTTCATTTCCCTCATTTAGATATGTTATATAGTATCTACTCACCGAGTCATTGATTTACTCACCCTCTAGCATTTTAGTTTTACGGGGTTTGTAAGGGTGCCTCTTTAGCTTCCACTCGATTGCTTATCTTGAAGTCGGCACATTGATCGTATGGCTTACTTACTTGTAACTTCTTATAACCCGTGTTTGATTTTGTTATAATTCTTAGAAGCTTTATAAGTATAATTTAGAGGTGTTGAATTATGAATATTGATTTGAGAAATACAAAAAGAGCATCAAATTATAATCTGCTTTGAAGCTATAAAGTGATGATTGTTAGGTTAGATTATTGTGAAATGAAATGATGTTTGATGTAATATAAGTTTAAGGATTTAAGTTTAAATATTCAAGGCTTGCTAGAGTCAATGAGGGCCTCACAACTCCATTAATTCTTGTACCGATCATAGCCCAGTCTTAGGGTCATGGCATAAATTATGTGCCATATACTCATATGAATGAATTCTCCATATAAAATGCTATGACCTCAATTCTTAATCACATCTTTTAAGTATCTAATTACCACATCATTCGAACTTGCATTATCAATCGTAACGGTAAAAACCTTCTCAATTCCCTAATCAATCAAGCATTTTTCAATGGTCATACCTAAATCTACTCCCTTATGACTATCAATCAAACAAAAATTCAAGATCTTTTTATGCTGCTTCAAGTCATTATTAATAAAATGAGCTATTAAACACATGTAATTGTTTTTTTTTAATAGATGTACATGTGTTCATAGTGAGGAAAATTCTTTCACTATTTTGTTTTAAAAATTACTTCAACTTTATTTTCTCATCTAAATAAAGTTAGTAGCAATCTCCGAAAATTGTAAAACATGATGGAAGTTTGACTCTAGGTTGTATATTAGATAAAAACTTTTTGAACCATTTGCCCTTTATATGCTTAAATGGAAGTTCATCTAGAATGATCATTTTAGCTAAGTCTTTTTTACTAGCATTTTGATCAAACTTTCATGTGTTAAGAGTGTTTTCTCCTCCTTCAAGCCTTCTAAGGTCTAATTGAGTTTGTGTAGAGTCAATACAACTATAAGGGTTTTTTTACTAGTCAAAACATGAGACTTAAGTGAGATTATCTTATTTTTTGAAGGATTACAAGTAAATATCTTATCACAATAGTTGCATTTAGCCTTTATGTCTTTCTTATCATCTTCAAACTTTATGAAATGGTCTTACACCATCGATCTTGGCTTGATTAGTTTCCTCTTCTTTCATTTAACATCCTTTTTGGTGTTACTTGAAGCTACACTTGATTATGGATTGCTTGAACCCATATGTTCATAATTCATCTCTTCGGATTGGCATTGCAACATCAACATAAATAGCAAAGGAAAAAGAGTATTAAGCTTCACACTCTTTAGGATAAAAAAAAAAAGCTATTATAAGACTTGACTTTATTTCACAATCATTGACTTAAAAAATGAAAACAAGAACACTCGAACGAGCCAACAAGATTCCATTTAGGTGTCATCCCTAATGTAACGAACTAATGAAAAAACTATGTTATTCTTAGTACTTTATTTATTATCATTATTTGATGTGTTGATGAGACAATGCAAGGTAAGGACATTCATGACAACGTTATTTACTTATCTATGAGGAAGGATTCTTAAGAGTAGTATACAAATGATGTGGATAACAAAGGAAGAAAAATTTGTGTCTTTTGTAGACAAGGGTATTTCTATAATTTTTTAGAAAATTTGAAAATTTGACTACGTCTAGGTTTTATTTTCTATTTAGTATTTTATTAGTCCTAATGAGTAATTAGTTTTATTTGGTTTTTCTTATTCTACGTAGATTTAGTATTTTCTTATTTAGGAATCCTTGTCCTAATTGAATTTAGAAATCTACAACTCTATAAATATACTATGTAGTTGTTTAATATTTAGAATGCAATAATATCAAATAATTTTTTGCATTTTTCTTTTAATTGTGTGACTCGATCACCTTCAAGTGTGACTCCTAAAAACTCTAGGTGTGAAGTTTAAGTTTTTCTATTCTCTAGCTGTGACTCCTAGAAACCACTATTAGTGTGACTCTAATAGTTCTATAATTCTAAGTAGAAGCCGATTTCAATGCGACCATAAATACTCCTAAACGACTTCCAAAATCGGATCTAGAATAACCCCTAAGTTGTCTTATATTAGTTTGTATCGGAGCTTCAAGATCTTAAAAGTTTTTTGTTGCATTCTACTTCAACCATGATAACCATCACCTGAATTGAATTCAAAATTTGAAACCTTCAAGCAAGATTTAGACATAAGACTACATTTTATTGAAGTTAGGTTGAATTCAATGGAAATATCCATTATTGCTAAGTTCGATAAGGTGCGAAGCAACATTAGATATGCTTACAAAGGCTATCTTGAGGTATGTTGAAATTAATTACATGCCTTACTCAAAAGTTATGAGTTTTAGTATTAGTATACATGTAAGTCTCGGTTGGTTAACAATATTGGAAAACCACAAAACAATCGGGATGTTAACCATGAAAACTACTTAGAACCTTGTTAATCAAATACATTCTAACTTTTGAGTATACTTGTTTTAAATGTTTGATTGTCCTCGATAAAGATCAACATAATACCAAAATCTCAAGGTCGTAAGATTATAGAAATAACATCTTCACATGCTTTTCTTGTAATACCATAAGATTTGCACTGACCAATTATTGTTTCAATATTATTTTATTAATTTTTTTTTGTTTATTAGTTTATTAAATTTACATGTCCTTCAAAACAAACCCATTCAAAATTAAACTATATAGTACTGCTTTGAACAAAAGTACAACATTTGTGTTTTACATAACCAAGGTAAGACATTATCGTTGAGTTTGTAAAGGAGAAAATACAAGCTAGATAGCTTACAACATCTATCTTTTATGGGCTAATACATATAATTTAATACCTTATGACTTGAAATAATTAAATACAATGTTCCAAAAGCCATATTTAGAAAGGTAGTTATTCAAGCAATCTTTTGGGAGAGAAGAGAAAGTATGGCGTACAATGTTTAAAAAAATTATTTACCTAATACATTTGATGTTCAATGTACAACCAGTACCAAATTTGTTTACCCAAACCATTTCTATCGTATTGATAATCTATGCTATTTTTCTTACATAAAAAAATTAATTTAATTATTATTATCGGTTAAACAAAAAAAAAGTAACGAGAGACAAACCTTGGGAGAGCTTGGAGTAGAGGAAAAGACGAAGAGTAGCTAAGGCTGCCTGAGTAGGAAGAGGAAGGTGATGGGTGGTGATCGATGAGTGATGATCGATGACCAAGATGACAAAGAGCTAAAGAGGTGGGTTGTGAGGGGTGAGCAAACGGTGAGTGATGACTAGTGAGATTGGAATTTGGAGGAGAACTAAAGCCTGAAAGAAGACTGGAGAGTGGAGAAGAAGGGAATGAAGCCAAAAGAGGTTAGGAAAGACAAAAGGAAGAGTAGGTGTATAACATGTTTCAGCGAAGAATGAATGTTGAAGAACTAAACTACTAAAGTTTGCCAGTTAAAGATTTAGAATTAGATTAGGATTGTTTTACTATTTATTTCGATTTTCGATTAAATTGATTTTTTTTTTCAAAAACCAACACGAGCTGAAATAATTTTTATTTTTTAATTCAGTTTTAAATTTTATAATTTTAAATTAAAAACTAAATCAAATTTCATAATTCGATTAAATTATATTTTATTTTTGATTAAACTAATTATTTGCCCTAGCCTTTATTATTTCCAACCCCTTTTACCAAATTGTTCTCTCCATCTCCTACATTCTTTTCCTTGGTGTGTGTATATATATAAAGTACAAACAATTGTTTTTTTAATTTAATCTCTCTCTATCTTGAGAGAGAAGGGTTGATTTGTTTCAACCCACTTCAGCATCTATCCTGTCTCCTGATGAAGGCAGAGAGGAGAGGAAGGTTGTATGACAGCGGAAGCACAGATGATGATAAAAGAGAAGGTGACGTCGTCATCGTTTGAGGCCAAGTTCTTGATGACACCACATTTCCTCCCTTTGCTGCCTTCATTCTTTCCCTTGTGTTTCTCTCCCTGGACGTAGGCAGGGAAGGAAATGGGGAGGAATGAGAAAGTGAGAAAGGAAGGAAGAGAAAGGGAAATTGGATTGGTTCTGTCTTTATCTGGTTATTATAAAGAAATTAAGAAAGAGGGAAGAATGATTTGTTGGCTTGCCAGATCTCTTTCCGAATAAATTACAACTGGTAGTTTATATGTAACAGGGGAAAAAGAAGGAAGAAGATAGAAAGAGGAAGGTAGAAGAACGATTTTTAAATTTGTGGGTTGGGTAATTTGTCATTTCACATGTTTAAAATCGATAGACATGATCTAACAGGGTCACGTGTCTTTTATTCTGAATATTGGTCAACATTTTTTATTTATTGAGTTACTTCAGTGTCTGGTGCGAAAAATCATTTTAAATGTTCCAAACTTTTTTAAAAAAAAAAAAAAATTCAAATTCAAATTAAAAGTATACTAGTCTTTATTTGAGCAATTGGCATGCATATATATATATATATATATATATATATGGAATTCAGCACATGGCATTTTGAAGGAGCTATCTTATATATTTGCTTATAAAAGAGGACCTGCCTACCTTAGTTTTACATAACACAAAAAGAAAATGTTTTCTTTCCTAGTTAGAGTCTCCTTGCTTTCCCTTTGCCTACTCTCCTCAGTTTTCTTTTCCTTAATTGCTCAAGCTACTGTCCCTCCATCTGCCAGATTTCAGATCCCTATCGACACATATTTCGGGGACTACCCCGTAGAATATGGTGCAAACTATCGTCTCATAGGCATTGACAATTACCCTTTCCAAGTTGGCTTTTACAACACCACCCCTGATGCATTCACTCTTGCTCTCCGTATGGGAAATCCTCTTGCATCTCCTAAAATGTATTTTGTTTGGGAAGCCAACCGAGGCAGACCAGTGCGTTTAAATGCCACTCTCACCTTCGGTGAAGATGGAAACCTTGTCTTGGCTGATGTTGACGGCAGCATTGCTTGGCAAACCGACACTGCCCACAAAGGAGTGGTTGGCTTGCAACTCCTTCCTAATGGTAACTTGGTGCTCCATGATTCAAAGGGCATTTTTATTTGGCAAAGTTTTGACCATCCCACTGATACTCTTTTAGTGGGCCAGTCTCTTCGTGTTGGTGGAACAGCTAAGCTTGTGAGTCGAGCATCTGAAAAGGAAAACTCAGATGGACCATATAGCTTGGTTGTGGAACCCAAAAGGCTAGCCATGTACTATAAGAACCCTGACTCTTCTAAACCTTATCTTTACTACACAGCAGACAAGTTTAGTGTATCCAAGGGTCGTATTGAAAATGTAACACTATATAGCCAAACAGGGGACACCTATGGATTTTATTATGATCTAACTCTTTCTCTAACTCCTTTCCAGGGTGTCACACTCACTACAGTCAACTATAATACCACACTATCGTTTCTTCGACTTGGGTTAGATGGGAATCTTAGGATCCACACTAACTATGATAGAGCAGATACAAAAAATGGATTTCAAGTAACCTTTACCTTTTTCTATAAGGATTCGGATTGGGAGAGTGAGTGTCAATTGCCAGAGAGATGCGGTATGTTTGGACTTTGTGAGGATAACCAATGTGTTGCTTGTCCACTGCCAAATGGACTAATTGGTTGGAGTAAGAATTGTCAACCTGTGAAGCCACCTTCATGTGGTTCCAAAAACTTTTACTACTGTAAGTTAGAAGGAGTTGATCATTACAACAGTAAGTATTTAAGCAGGAGTCGAGCGATGAATGAAGATGATTGTGGGAAGAAATGTTCGAGTGATTGCAAGTGTCTAGGTTACTTCTACAACAAGGATACATCTAAGTGCTTGATTGCTTATGATCTTCATACCCTAACTAGGGTTGCGAATTCCACCCATGTAGGTTACATAAAGGTACCAAATAACATTACTTGATTACATGTTGTATCACCAACAAATTAGATATTTTTATAATGTCCTTATAGAGTTTAACTACAATAGTGTATTTAAGGCAAGTAAGAACCGAACCCACTAGAAGGAGGCTTAATTGATAGTTTATTTCAATTGATTTTTCTTGTAGTGTAAAAACGATAAAAAAGGAGGGGTTTTGTGTTTGAAGTGTTTGGATATAATTAAAGTAAATCGAAATAACAATAATAAAAGAACATTGGTTGAACTTCGGTGTCCACTTTTAGTTTGGTCATTGATCATCGATTAAATAATTAACTTATCCTAAACATGACTACTCACCATAGGACAAAAACATGGATGTTGTCTCCAACCTTTCCTTACTTAGTCGTTAACCGAATATACAATACTCGATTAATTTCCTAGCTATTGAATAACCTACTAAGCACTAAATATATTTAATCCAATAATAACATTAATTAGAGAAAGACGAGTGAAGCTAAACCACCCCTTAGATGCTAGAAAGATATAACCTAGTTTTATGTTTTCTAAGGGATTGAACAAAAACATGAAAAATAATCATTAACCCCTAGTTACTTCCACAGGTAACTTTAGACAAACAATTACATAGAGTTGAATACTTAGCTAGCAATAAGTTAATATAATCAAACGAGATAGTATGCACTCTAATCAATTTAATCATATAACTATAACCAATCATACGGAAAAACATAAAATACTCAAATAAGATAAGTTTAGAAATAAAACCCGTAATCTCATAGCGATTTAACCAAAAGCTTCAACTTGATTCAACCAAGAAAGGTGTTTAATTGTTCATAATGGGTTATAAAGGAGAGTTTTCTATCTATGGTGGTCGTTAGGAATGGAAATCTCGAAATAAAACCTTAACATAATTATTTATAACTAAAAGTAAGGTTACATCACATAGGTGTTAGCCCCACATGGCCACATGGGTTACTAACATGGTTTACCGCTCAACTTCATATGGTTTAAAACCTTGAATAAAGGGTATTACACAATTTGTTGAATAGAGGCATATGATCGTGTGCCTTTTGCCTTTAATTCATGTTAATTCTTTCTACTTGTGTAGACTTATTACGCTTTTTGAGACACGAACGTCTCTCTTCCATGAAATGCCTACTACCTATGTGGTCTTTTTTTTCTCTTGGAAGACAATCCAACTTGACACATGCACAATCGTGTGGCTTTTTTCTTCTAGCCATATGGAATGCTACTACTCATATGACTTTGTTACTAAGTAATCCACATGGTTTCTTTTTTAATGTCACATAGCTAGTAGTCGATTTCCTTTATGAGTGGCATGTCCATGTGACTCCTAGCTTCCTTGATGATTTCTCCCCTTCTTGCTTTGGTTTTGGGTTTCCTTTCTTTGATTAATCTTTTTTCCAACAAACCCAAAACCATCATCTTGATCTTAATTAACCTAATATAATAAAATAAACACTAAAAAGTTCAATGCTATAGGGCATAAAAATCATGCTATTTATGCACTCATCAAATAGCTCAACACTTAAACTTTGCTAGTCCTCGAGCAAAATAAACAAAAAAAAAAATCTAACTCATTTTCATAAGAATCACGATTGCATTTAGCACATACAACAAGCCTTTAAACTCCTAAGTTACCCCTAGTTGATGAGTTATGTCTTATAAGGACTTATATGATTATTTTTTCAAACATTGATGCTCAATTTAGAATTTGACAAAATCTAACAATCAAATCAATAATTTTTAAAACATTATTATTATTATTATATCAATGCACATCTTTGAATTGATTTATGCATCTCCATAACCAAACACGATTCAAGATATATATGTACACCAATTTTACCTTTATCTTTTTTCCACCACTATAAGCAAAGCAATAAATCAAAATTTTATTTAATCGAACTTTTTCTTTTTAAGCATCCTAATGTTCTTTCGTTTAAGGCCTTTAATAGTTTTTTTCCTAAGTGATCAATTGCCTTTTTACGCGAATACCGACATTTGTGATGCGAGTAATCGTTTACTTAGCAAGTCATCAACTTAAGGTGCTTTGTATACTCATAATTTAAACTCGTCATTTGACATAAAAGTAAACATTTGTGATAAATACTCCCGATTACTAAGCAACTCAAATCATTGGAGTAGAATGTTTACTTAATTAGGCTAAATTTTCTAATGGAATGCTTTTCAAATTTTCTTTTTTGAAATTTCCATAAATAACTAGAAAATCTTTTTCATTTAAATCATGCTTAGGTTTACTTTCCAATGAGTACTTATAAATTCGAGTGTTACTACCTAAATTATGTTCAATCAAGCTCATAAAGCTTTCTAGCATGCATGCATATCTACAATAATAATATCCTAAATATTTTCAATTATCTCATCAACGTTCATCAAACATCAATCGGGAAAAATATAACACTAAACCATGGCATTCATTTTTTCATTTTTCATTTTTTTATATAGGAAGATAACCTAAAACAAACACAAATTATATAAATAAACATAAAAAGAAAAAAAATACATACTAAACACACCCCCACACTTGAATTGGATATTATCCTCAATGTCCTACATACTAGATCAAATATAAACAACATGGAAAGATAAAGGTATAAGAGAGCAAATCTCAATGGAAACCCTCAAAATATAGGTGGTAGAGGCGATGCAAAATATGTCATGAAGGTGGCATAGAGGTGGTCGATTTGGGTGTTGACCATGTGAAATCCAAATATGGCATTGTTCTTTGCATTTTGAATTTACTCATTCAAAAAGTCAAATCGAGTATTGACATTGTTGTTCACATTTTGAACTTACTTATTCAAAAGGTCAAATCGGTTATTGACATTGAGTTGGAACTCATCTAACCACAATGCAAGCTATTCCACCTCGTTCGATTGGGCGCCTAAGGTGCCTTTTGTGGAACCTATTCAATTGCTTGTGGAACCTCATCATCTTCATCACCCTCACTACTTGAATCGGTTTGCTCTTCTTGTCATTGTCTATTGGTCGGCCAAATGAGGTATTTCTTTTTTTCTTTTCTAGCAACCTAATCTGGACCAATTTCTCAAGATTCAAGTGATCAAACCTTTTTCTGGGGCTAATGTTATGGTGTGTCGATTAAACGACTTCAACTTTTCGCATCTGTGGGTGATGAACCCACCAATAACAATGTCACTTTCATTCGACTTCTTAAAAATTAAGAAGTGTTCGACTAAAAGATAGGTAAAATATATTTTTACCTTATTAGCAATGAAGAACAAGATCTCTAACTCCAACTTACTTACCACACTCGTTACTATTTTCTCATCCACATAATGTCCAAACCAAGATAAGATATATGTATTGAAATGTCGGGCTCATCATTATCGAGTTCGATCGATAGGGATTGTACATCTTTTTTTGTGAACCTATAATTTTTCTCTAAAAAGGCCTTTCAAAGCCAATGGATGGTTGGCTTACACCTTTATGTGGCTAACCAAACATGTCCGCTATTTTCATCTTATCATGAACACACCTCTTATTGGCTATCCCGAATATAAAAAACCCCTAAGCCTTCAACTAATTATCCGTCAACATTTCACCTTGAAACTAATTTAGAAACTTTAAACTCAACTCCTTATGAGAGGGAGTATCTATTTTTAACAATCCAACCCATCCAATCTTTCCCTAACCTCGATCAACAACTCAATAATTTCTAATGCCCGAAGATCAATAAACCTATTGGGCACTATTTTTCTATTCTTCAAGATATTATAATGAAACTTATGATCATCATTAACAAATTCAATTCTTGGGTGAAAAGAAGGAATACTAGATCGAGGTGGTTAACCTTCCTGTTGAGCCATCATTTTTTGACAAGGTCATTTTTCTAGTTCTATCAGTTGCTTCTTTTTATCCCTAGAGGTTGACATTATTATCTTTAATTAAGCTTAAGTGGGGAAAGATGGGGTTTCTTTAGTTGGGAGTAGGTGGTGAAGGTAAGGTTCCTTGATGGGTAGTAATAGAAGGGTAGTGTTTAATTTGTAGAGGTGGAATAATGTGGTGGCTAATAGTTTTTAATGAGAGAGATGAAGAGTTGAAGGAGATAAAGAGATGGAAAAATGGGTGGTGGTTGCAATTGGAGAATTGGAAAAGATAAAGTGACACGATTAGGGTTAGATTTATATAAGGGTAGGTTTTATGAGGGCAAACCATATGACTTTTGGGCTGAGAGATAAGCTCATGTGAAAATTATATGTAAATTATGTCTCTTCCTCTTTTACTCGTGTGATTTTCCTTCTTCCCAAGAAGTGCAACCTTTCATATTTCATATGACCATGTGAAATTCCTTCTTCAAACCATGTGAAATCAATCTACCCATGTCTTATTTTTCTTAATTTAATCTACCCCACGTGGGTCACGAGGTCGTGTAAAATTACTACACAAACCATGTGAAAGCCTTTTACATATGTTATCTTTTCATCTTTAACATCTCCGTAACACTCGCTTTGATCACACAATCATGTAAAATTACTATATAAATCATGTGAAAACCTACCGCTAGTGTAACCTCTCTCCTTTGCTTAAGTTTTTAACCATCTTTCGGGGATACAAGCATGCCATTTTCTTCTATAAACCATGTCCCTTGACTACTACCCATATGACCATCTTTCTTTTTTGAACTTTCAGCCAAATACACACATATAGGCATGGTTTTTAACTACTTAAGTGGTGTAAAATCCTACTACCCATGTGTGTGTTTCTTTTCTTCTCTTAACACACCAAAGTACCTATACTACAACATCTTTCCAATCAAGTCAAGTATGGATGAAATTTAAAGAAAAATTAAATAATTAAATTGAACATTAAATTAAAATGTAAAATCTATAAAAATTCATTAGGTTTTCTTCTAATAAGTGCTTTTGTTTAATGTCGTTCGCTCGACATTACCTTTTCCATCATAGGGGATCTTTTATCTTCAAGTTTGGACTTGACCTTCCTTGTACCTTAGCATTAAC